TTCTCTTTCCTGTGTTAAATAAACACAGGAACAAAAAGCAAACAAGAAAAGTTCAAGGCCTGCTCTTAGGCCGAGTATCTGTCAGCTGTTTGGTTTTAAGTTGATACTGTCTCTTTAAATTTCGAGGAGATCTATGCACATGCGTAGTAGAACCCTCCGAGGGTGAGGCTGAAGTATCCAGCAGCTCAGGCACCCCTATAGTCACCAGAATGGATGTACGCAGACAGCAAGGGACCAACGAAAAGATACCAAAAAAAAGGAATGCCCACACCTCTATCTCTGCGGCTCTGTCAGGTGTCCGTGGCTGCTCTGATCCTTTCCCCGCTTGGCCCCACACAAAACGGCGGCTCCTGGAGCAGCTGAGCATCCCAAACCAGGAAGCAATGGATTTCTTGCTTCTGCCACAAACTCCCCAGCTGTAAGTCTTCCAACCTTCTAAATATTCCTTTATATGTGGTTCAGAGTACTGGGACCATTCCCTGAGCCTTCTTGGTCCTGTATTCTGTGTTGTTCTCGGCAGAGCTCGTCACTGCACTTCCACCCGATCCGCCATCTTTTTCCAGAACTTGGGTTTTGTCTTTACTTTGCTTTTAAATACTATTTTTTTCTCTAAAATGCAAACAAACATTGCAAAATCTCACATTTGATAGCACCTCAAGCACTGTACGTCACACTGTCTTTGGGAGATAAGTGTTCAGAGTTAAGACCTTTGCTTATACTTTTAGTTCTGTTTCTATAGGTATTTGTAAATATATCATAAATATATATGTATATCATCTATGCATCACACAGAACTTGGGCCCTTTGGTTTTGAAAGTCTCTTCCATGTGGGAAGTGTGGTGCAGAAATCTTCAGTCAACTCTCTGCCCTTCTTAGTGGTGCAGTGTGCTGAGCACTGGACTGTTAGGTTGCAGGTTTAAACCCACCAGCAGCTCTGCAGAAGAAAGACGAGATTGTCTGCTCCCATAAAGATTTACAGTCTCAGAAACCTTCTTTTATCCTTTAGGGACAATGTGAGTTATAATCAGTAGTAAGTTTGGTTTGTTTTGGTTTCTGTTTCTCTTATCCCAGGAGTTAACCAAAACAACAACAACAAAAATGTGCCAAATATATTCTATGTTAGGACTATATCAAAACAAAAAGAAGTGACTAAGCAATGCAGAAGTTTTAAAAATGAAATTGATACAGTAGGAAATTTTAATATGTAACCTCCCCAGAGGGAAGTAGTAAATTGGAGTGATCAAGTGGCTGAGAATGATAGGGGTCTACTGAGGGCAGGATTTAGGTTTGTAAATGGGTCTTATCTAATTCCAGATCTTCAGAGGTTTTTAAACAAATCTTTTTCCATTTCTTTGCTTTATGACCTGCCATTTCCCCCCTTGAAATGAGAGAAACAAGAAATGAAATATTCTGCTTATAATTCCAGTAGAGAAATGAAGAAACACTAATTTTTTCCCTTAATTTGAAGATTTGCTTTAAGCAAGTTACAAGCTTATATAAGAAATATATGAAAAGTTTCAAGCTATACTGGAAAATTAGAATGTCATTTCATCTGTTTTATCCATCCTTTATTCTTTGGTCTACCTCCCCATGCCCAACATACACATTTAGGTACTTAATAGGGGATAAAGACTATAATGTAGAAAGTTTCCTTTATAAAGGCAATTCCCTTAAGATGTAAGCTCCTTCCTTTGAACGTCAGATCCTGCAAGGCAAAGAGTCTTTGATCTCTTTACTAATGGGTAACATGGAACATATGAAAGGTGTGCTCAATTTAACTTTATCTTAGACTTGTTTTCTTAAGAACTATTTTTTTTTCGTGTCATATACAAGATTTGTTAGAATTGGAAAGTGGGAGTTTAGTGGAAAAAAGTAAAGTCTATTGCCACAGTTTCAATCATAATGTACGAATTCAGGGAGGACTGCTTCCTTAGCAATACGTAGTGTCTTTGAAATTATTTGAATACCTAACAGTTGCTCCATCTAATCATCGAGGAAGTTGGAACAGATGGTTGAAATATAATATTATCTGTCAAATTACAGAAATGCAATTATAGACTTCAGATTCAATTCTAGGAAGCAGCTCTTCAATTCTAGGAAGAGCAATAAACAAATCTCTATAATTTGAAATTACAAAGGATTAGTTATTTGCAGTAGATGATCATGTGGAAGGGTGTAAGGAAGGACAAATTGGTTTCTTTTTTGGTTTTCTATATCTTTCTTACCCTGTTTTCATCATCTTCAATTTCTCCCTTAGAACCTCCTCAAAAATTTCTTCAGTGATGACTTTCACTGGGTTGGTCTGCGGTGCAATTCTGGTTGGAGGTGGGAAGATGGATCAGCTCTAAACTTCTCAAGGTAAGGGGCTTCAAAAGAGTAGAAACAGAGAGAAAAAGGGGAGGAAAACTCTTGTCTGGGAAAATAGATCAAGGATAGCAGATGAACAGGAGAGGAAAGGGTGAGAAGAAGAATAGGGACCAGGGAGTAAGGAAGGTAATAGACAGGAAAGGAAGAAAGAATGAGGACAACATTTTAAAGAGAGATGTTCTACTGTTCTGGTCACTGAAAGAAATGAAGGACTGATTGTTGTTTGAGGTGATTTCATTTACAGCAAAAAACATTGCTTGGTCCTGCATCATTTTCACAGTTGTTGCTGCGTTGAAGCCCATTCTTTTTTTGTTTGTTTGTTTTTCTTCTTTTTTTGTTTTGTTTTATTGTGAACTGAGTGATAGTTTACATGGGAGAACATCAGCTTTACACCATCGTTGCATTGCAATGATTACAATCTCCTCTGTGCATCATCATTCAACAGTATTTACTTCCAGTCCCTCTGTTTTTCTTTTTTTTTTGAGGGTGGGATGGGGAGATGTATACAAAAACACTCAGGAATATATAATAATTTACACCACCAAAGGGTACATTCTGCAAGCCTGCCTCCTGGCCTCCAGTACTCAGTCCCTCTCTTTCAATTAGTCTAGAGTCTTCAGCTGCTCTTGAGCCCATTCTTGTAGGTACTTCCTTTATTTTGTGAGGGTTTTCTTAACTCTCTACTTTGCCAAGTAGGATGTCCTTTTGTAGGGATTAGTTCCTTCTGATACTATGTGTAAAGTATGTGAAACAATGTCTCATATCCTTGCTTCTAAGGAGCATTCTGGCTATATTTCTTCTCACACAATTTGCTCATTCTTTTGGCAGCCATCCATGGTATATTTTAATATTCTTCACCAACACCATAATTCAAATGCATCAATTCCTCTTCATTCTTTCTTATGCATTGTCCAGCTTTCACATGCTTTTGTTGTTAGGGGCCAGCTAGTCATAGTGACCCTGTGTGCTACGGACGGAAATACTGCCCGGTCCTGTGGCATCTTTACAATTGTTATGTTTGAGCCTATTGCTGCCACTGTGTCAATCCAACTGATTGGGGTGGGGGGATTTTTTTTTTTTGCTGACTCTCCATTTTGCTAAGCATGATGCCCTTCTCTGAGACTGGTCCTTTCTGACAGCATGTCCAAGATACAAGAGATGAAGTCTCACAATCTTCCCTTCTAAGGAGCATCCTGACTGTACTTCTTCCAAGATAGATTTGTTTATTCTTGTGGCACCCCATAGTACTTTAAATATTCTTCTCCAAAACTATAATTCGAATTCATGGATTCATCTATGGTTTTGCTTATTCATTGTCCCACTTTGACATGTATAAGAAGCAAGTGGAAATACCATAACTTGGGTCAGTTGCACCTTAGTCTTCAAAGTGACATCTTTTTAACATTTTGAAGAGGTATTTTTCAACAGATATGCTTAATTCAATACATCATTTGATTTCTTGACTACTGCTTCCATTAATGTTGATTTTGGACCCAAGCAAAATAAAGTCTTTGTTTATTATGATGTTATTTATTGGTCCATTTGTAAGGATTTTTTTTTTTTTCTTTTTTCTTTACACTGAGATGCAATACACACTGAAGGACTGTAGTCTTTGATTTTCATCAGTATTTTAAGTCCTCTTTGCTTCCAGCAAGTGAGGTTGTGCCTTCTGCATATTTTTGGTTGTTAATGAATCTTCCTCCAATCCTGATACCATGTTCTTCCTCATATAATATTATTTCTTAGATTATTTGCTCAGCATACAGATTGAATAAGTCTGGTGGAAGAATACAATCCTGATGTATACCTTTCCTGAAACCATTCAGTCTGACACTTAAAAAAACCATTTTGCACCATATTTGCCCAATGCAGTCACATGCATATAGGTGATTGAAAATGGCTTCTTTCAAGTGCACCGTAGTCTTCAAAGTGACATCTTTGCTTTTTAGCTCTTTAAAGAGGTCTTTGCAGCAGATTTGCCTAATGCAAGACATTGTTTGATTTCCTGACTGCTGCTTTCATGAGTGCTGATCATGGATCCAAGTAAAATGAAATCCTGATAGCTTCATTCTTTTTTCCATTTATCATGATGATGCTTATTGAACCAGTTGTGAGGATTTATTTTTATTTTTATTTTTTATGTACAGTTGTAATCCATATTGAAGTGCTTCGGTTCTCATTTCTTTCAGCAAGCAAGGTTGTATCATCTGCATATCTCAGGTTGTTAATAAGTCTTCTTCCAATCCTGATGCCACATTCTTCGTATAATCCTGTTTCTTGGATTATTTTCGCAGTTTGCAAATTGAATAAATCTGGTGAAAGGATACAACCCTGATGCATTCCTTTCCTGATTTAAAACCATGCAGTATCCACAAACAGCTATCTCTTGTTCTATATATAGGTTCCTCATGAGTACAACTAAGAGTTCTGAAATATATCCATTCTCTACAATGTTATCTAAATTTTGTTATTATCCACACAGTCAAATATCTCTGCATATTCAGTGAAACACTTTTTTATGTTTTCTTTGATAAACTTCTTTTTGGTGTTTTCTACTTTCAGTTCAGATGCATATTATCAGCAATGATATTTGTTGGTTCATATCCTCTTATGAATTTGCCTTGAATTTCTGGCAGTTTCCTGTGAATGGATGGCTACAACTATTTTTGAGTTATCTTCAGCAGTGTTTTACCTGTGTGACACTGTAGGTTAAGCACTGGACTGCTAACTTCAAGGTTGGCAGTTCAAACTTACCAGTGCTCCTTGGAAAGCCTATATATGGTTGCTGTAAGTTGGAACTGATTCCATGGCACTTAACAACAACATGTGATATTAATTATATTGTTCCATAATTTCTGCATTCTGTTGCATCATCTTTCTTTGGAATGGGTACAGACATGGATCTTTTCCAGTTAGTTAACCACATAGATGTCTTCCAAATTTCCTGCCATAGAAGAGTGAGCACCTACAGTGTTGGTCTACTTGCTGAAATATTTCAATTTGTATTCTGTTTGTTTCTGGAGACTTGTTTTTTACCAGTGCCTTAGGGTAGCCTTGACTGCTTCCTTTGATGCTATCAGTTTTTTATGATTTGCTTCCTGGTACAATGACTATGTGTTCTTATTGAATATTCTTTTGATGTTTCCTGTATTTTTCAATATTTTACCCATGTTGTGGTTAAGTGCCATCGAGTTGGTTCCAACTCCTATTGACCCTTCATAGAGTTTCCCAAGAATGGCTGGTAAGCTTGAACTGCTGATCCTGCAGTTTAAGGCAACTTTGCAGTCCAACACATTAACCCACATTACCATACCAGCAGTCCATTTTACCCATAGTATTCCTCAATATTACAGTTCTAGGCTTGAATTTTTCCTTAGTTCTTTCATATTGAAAAATGCTGAGCATATTCTTCCCTTTTGGTTTTCTAACTCAAGGTCTTTGCACATTTCAGTAAAATACTTTACTTTGTTTCTTCTCGAGCTGTCCTTTGAAATCTTTTGTTCATCATTTCTTCCTTTCGCTTTAGCTACTCCTAAGTTCAACAGCAAGTTTCAGAGTCTCTTCTGACATCTATTCTGATCTTTTTTTTTTCTTTGCTGTTTTTTTAATGACCTTTTGGTATCTTCATATATGATGTTTTTGCTTTTTTTTTAATTTATTGTGAATCTGTGAAGGTGTACAGAGAAGATCATCAGCTTCAAATTAGACAAATTATACACTTTGTTTCATCTCAGTGATTACGATTCCCTACAAACAACAACAATTATCCTTTTTCCTCCCTGAGGTTCCCCATTTACATCTTATATTTCACAAATGAACAAAGTAAAAATATTTGATAAACCCACACAAAACAAAAAAATATATATACACTTAAATGTCCAAAAGGTACATTCGGGAAGCCAATCTCCTGCCCACATGCACATACTCTAACTTAGTCTGTGGGTCTAGAGCCTGTGGCTACTCTGTGGCTCCATGCTGCCATCTCTGCCACCATCTCTGCTGTTGCCACTTTTCTAGGTAGGGACTCATGCTTCACTCATTCTCTCAATTCCTCATAGTCCTGGGATCATCTTCTCATGAAATGACAGATTCACTACTCTTCCCCTTTTAGTTACACATTTTCTACAATTACAGATTTGACAATTACAGTTACTCACAATTGTATCATAAACCCTCTCAGTATCTTCCCCTACCCTCTTCCACCAGACTCATCTCGAAAAAAGGAAAACTACTCAGTGGGATTCTACCTGACCTCCCTCATTCTGAAACTAAGCACACCCATGAAATCTTGTAAGCTAGATACTTCATGCCTTTTTAGCCCCCCATTTTGATAGCCAGTGTCTAAATTGCCCATCCTTATTAACCCCATTGTATGGAATACAAATTGAAATATCTCAACAAACTGATGTGGCACTCACTCAACTATGCCAAGAAATTTGGAAGACAACTTTCTGGCCAACTGACTGGA